TATTTATTAGAAAGGACATCAATTTACTTTGCTGTACACGAATAATTCAATGAGGATTGTATGAATATCTACTAAATATTTTCTACGCGACGAACATTTACTCACCTTTACTTTGATGTCCCTAACCGCTTCTCAATGTTGGTGTTTCCAACCTCTCGTAAAAATCTCGTAAAAAACCTTGATAAATAAGTGATAAATCCCACTTTTTCATCTCCAAAGTTTCTCCTTACCGCGTTGCCCTTTATCATCCTTATCTCCCACTCTGTGTTATCATTCATCCATGTTATCGTCTTCGCTGTACTAATCGTTCGTATCGTGTTTGTCTTGCTTGCTTCGCTTTGTAGTCTCGTCCTTGTCATGTGTCTTCAATATTGATGACGGTATATGCGTTTGTTATACGGTGGTTGTAAACTATACGTTAATTATATGGCTATCGTTTAAGTTCGTAAGAAAGCCAATCTTGGTGATTGTCTAAAGATTGCCTAAATATCACAAGCTTAGTGATTGCCTAAAGATTGCCTAAATATCACAAGCTTAGTGATTGCCTAAAGATTGCCTAAAAAAGTACAAGCTTGGTGATTGCCTAAAGATTGCCTAAAAAAGTACAAGCTTAGTGATTGCCTAAAGATNCTTGCTAAGAAAATTAAGATTTCCGCGCTGAATAAAATTTTTCCTTCTCTTTTACTATTTGATCTATTCGTTTCATGTGTTTATGTGCACAATGTATAGCGAGAATTGTTCACCCTGATGTTTAAATGTGTAGATCTGTTTAGTCTGTGTTCATTTGTTATTTGTAATTCATGGAACACGAATATTTTAATTTCACTCATAATAAGTTTCAGTGGAAGAAATTTTAATTATGATCGATAAAAAGGACATTGACGTTAAATTCATTAACATTTAGGTTCATCTTCATAAGCCCCAAGTTTCATTTCCCAACTCCACCTAAAACTTTTAATTTATTTATTATTGCGATAAAAACTGCTACACTGCATTAAATTTCATCGATTCATAAATGCAGTGACCTAAAATTAAACCAATTATGAATCATTGAGGCATCATAAAAATTAACTGATCGTAAACTTCGTCGAAAGACATGTAGAAAAATTTCGCTCTTAATCGATAACTGCAAGATATGATAACTGATAAGCTGACTTAGCATTATTGCACAACTGATTAACTGAGATTGAAGGCTGGCCATAGTTCAGTCATTTAATGAGCTTCTTGGCTAAAGTCGGCGCATAAAGTTTCTAATAATTGGACGGTACACTCAGGGGAATGAAGGGTACTTTGTCAAATAATATTACACTCTTTGCCTTTGAGTGGGACATGGTTATATAAAATTTGGGCATTATTTATGTTTATATTGAGTTTCTAGAATTTTTTTCATTGCACAGTTTGAACCGGCTCAGTGCTTGGTCCGCTCTCTGCTATTGTTGTGAGTGATAAAGTGTGTGGCTATTTGGACATTATGAGGCATACATTTTTCTGAGTATACACTGACCGCTCTACTATCTACTAAGACCAGAAGTGCAGTTATTTTCTGGTAACCTTCAGTCGCTAGCGTTATCCTTCATGAAAATATTTTGAGTTCTTCTCATGGTGGACCAAAACTCCAGAAAATGTTTTTTTTTTAAATAAGAGAATTCGTCAAAAATCTCGATTACATCATATCCATTTCCTTTTTTGTGGTACCATCATGATGATTTGACTACCGTTTCGTGTTTAATGAATATTAGTAAGAAACACGAGTAAGAAACTCGAGTAAGAATATTAGTAAGAACATGCGCAAGAAACACGAGTAAGAACAGGAGTAAGAAACATGAGCAATGAACATGAGTAAGAATGATGAGTAAGAAACACGAGTAATGAACATGATTAAGAAATATGAATAAGAATGATGAGTAAGAAATACGAGTAATGAACATGATTAAGAAACATGAGTAAGAACATGAGTAAGAGACACGAGTAATGAACATGATTAAGAAACACGAGTAATGAACATGATTAAGAAAGATGAGTAAGGAAGATGTATCTCCTGTTCCTAATAGCCTGGCAGTGAGAGATGGCGCAGCCGCAGCCGTGATCCGACCAAGGAAGGCGAGGGCGCCGAGGTAATAACGACCCTCTAACGCTGAGGGCTTGTCTTGCCTTTTGTTGAAGACTTAGACGCATCTTCGCTGGCCATGCATGGCTTGCAGATAACGATATATTTGCCTGACCAGCGTTTCTTTTCAGCTAACTTACATTAAATGCCCGTTGATCTGTCTGACTAACTGAACCAAAACAAATTTGACCGACTAACTTTTGTGAATTTTCGTCTTAACTCCACATGCGGGAAATTGTTATTATAATATATATCATAAAATATATATGTCGTTATAAATATTATATTGTAATAACGCTTAACTAACACCAGTCTAGGAATTGCCCTGTCCAATGAGAGGAAATGAGACTTGTTTCCATTTGAAGTCACACCCGAGGTCGAGTTTCAAGAGCCTGTGTCTTACCGCTATACAGTTGCAGCCCCGTTGATCAAAAATACTTTGCCTCTCATAAACCGTTCCAATTAATTACATGCCACTCGAATTTGTACCTTAATATATAAAAAAGTTAATTCAGTAAGAAAATGAGATATTAATGAATATTTAATAAACCGCGTGCTAGCTAATTAACGAGTGATGTTCTTCGTGTTTTTCTTGATTGACAATTGTTACGAAGAGTGTAATTAAGTGAAAGTAATTAAGGTTATTCAGCGACATACGTATGTACGATATCGTTGGATGCCCTTAAAAGTCATGCAAACAAACAAGTTTTATAATTCAGAGATCCACTCGTAAATCATTTCTCGAGTATATTTATTCTTTAAAGCTCCAATCAAATTCCATTCAAGACAAGCGAAAAAAAATGTCTCCATGCATCGTAAACTTTTGTGGCCACTTTTCTCAAAACCAGAAGTTTATTAATGATCATCTACTTGTTCATAGCTCAAAAAATTTAATAATAACAACAATATTTAATTCAATTAATTGACGTTTTATTGAAACAGGGAATGAAAACAATACGAGATTAAATTTTTTAAATTTTAATTGAAGCGATTTACGCTGCACGGTGTCTGGCGTCGATGGACGTCGAGTACAAGAGACTTGGACGACTCGCCTGGACATTGGACAAAGTCCCTGCAGCGGCATACGGCCATAAATTTTGGTATTTTTTTATCCATTACCATTATACTCTCAGAAAATAACGACCTCAAATTCTCAGAAACTTTATACTCTGAGGAAGCGAAAGAGTTGCAGGAACGCCCGGTGATGTGATTGCGTAGATTGACTACATTGATATAGTTCTTATCTTGAAGGTTTTGGCATTATCTTGTTCAAAATAACTCTATTTAACTAAATCATCGTGTCAATGATGTACCTGAGTTGCAATAATGTTAACAATAAATGACTAAGCTCTAAAAATAATGAATAATATTGAATAATTGATACATTCGAAACGTTGTTAACGAATTAAAAATGTCCATCTGTATCCTGATTTTCAGCTTACCAGTGCAAACAAAAAATAGTTATCGGTATATTGAAAAACTAATAAGAATATTGTAAATAAAACAAATTCTCTGGTCTTCAATGACCTGCTTTAAGAAAAAATTTTGCCAACCTATACTAATTTCTTTAACATTTCTAGCGGCATCATGCTCATATTCAATTATGTGTTACCTGAACTTCGATAAAAATTATTATTATTATTCTGAGTGCGTCAATTCAAGCATCGAATACCTAGTGCTTCATTCATGAAGAGTAATACTACAACAAATGGTAAAATTACGAAACTCCAAAGCTTATTTTTTTTCAATGAGGATTGGTCGACATGTTGGTATTGATGTATAGGTGGAGTATCACATGCCGTCAACTGGGGTGACTTCGGCCGCCGGGGTGACTTCGGCCGTTAGCAGGAAATTATGATTATTACATTGGATTTATACAATATTAATCTCATTCTTTGTAAGGGACAAATTATTATTGTCATTATTGAGGCTAACCCAGCATAGGAGCGTCTTGAAGTACAGTTGTCGTAAAAAATAAATTGGTAAAGAATTGTCTATTGCTGGAGCCATAAATTAGCCTGTCCTCAATTATGCATCTGAATTATTTGCATGCTTATTTATAATCGGTTGAGGGCTTGACTTGTTTGAAGAGATACCCTGCCTGTTTGAATGCTTGCTCATTTTACCCTGAATTGCTCATTTTACCCTGAATTGCTCATTTTACCCTGAATTGCTCATTTTACCCTGAATTGCTCATTTTACCCCGCTGGCCGTACCAGGGAGGCTAGATCTGCATGCTGTCGCGTTGATATTATTCGCTTCTGGTAACATGCTTGAATGATGTCTTTCACCGAAGATTTTTTTGTCTTGAGTTGTTATATTCACCACCCAAAGAGCTCTTGACGCTTATTGATAATATTGTGTATAGTGGGTATTTAGCTACAGAAAAGTAAGTAATGATGGGAGAAATTGCTCATTTTAATCTTATGGTGTCGTTTAAGATAAATGGATTGTTTTGCTTCTTTAAAAAAAACTATAACTATGTTCCGTGAATTTCATTTCAGTTTTTCTTACAGAAAAGTAGCTGACTTTCCATCTTCAGGGTTTAAGTTTTCCCAAGCTTTAATTCACATAATATCTTTAGAAGTCTCAGTGGTGTTCCCTACCACTACGACTTCTAAAAATTTCCTACTAAAAAATTTGCGGCGAAATTCCGTCAAATCTACCGTAATTCGGAACTTTTTCTTAATTTTTTGCTTTTCTATCCGCAAAAAATTCTTCATCTTCTTCGCATGGAATAAGGATGAGACTCAGGCTGCTATTAATGATTATGGATGTTAAAAACAGGCTCCATTTTGTAAAACGTACACGAGAAAAACATTCCTTTTACGCGCTATTTATCATTGAGCAAGTTCCAGACTCTCTAGACAAGTTCCATTTGTATCATTTACAGACCGAGAAATCCATGACACTCGACGTAGATGTGAGCGCCATCATCTGGCCTGGCAACACGTCTGTCAAGCCACAAGGCTACATGATACCTACCAAGCTCAAGGTGAGATACATGATACCTACCAAGCTCAAGGTGAGATACATGATACCTACCAAGCTCAAGGTGAGAAACATGATACCTACCAAGCTCAAGGTGAGAAACATGATACCTACCAAGCTCAAGGTGAGATACATGATACCTACCAAGCTCAAGGTGAGATACATGATACCTACCAAGCTCAAGGTGAGATACGTGATACCTACCAAGCTCAAGGTGAGAAACATGATACCTACCAAGCTCATGTACTTTACTCCTACTCACATTTTGTGTGAAGTTCTTCCTGACAGGTCGACTTAAATATCATTTTGTTTGTACTGTTAGACCGAGGACAATTAGCCTTAACTACACTTAATATCAGATACGTCACTAAATTGAACTTCGGTAATGGTAACCTGTAATTTGTATACGAGGTTTGTTTAGCGGATGTTGCCAAAAATATTTTCCCTGTTAATCGAAAGGAATCTAATTGATCGTCTCTAAGTTGTACCTTCCGGTTCCCAGGTTTTAACAATCCACGAGAAACCCTTCGTGATCACGAAACCAATCAACAGCCCCGCGGAATGCATGGGTGATGGCAACGTTCCTTGTCCATGGTTCAACACCACAGGCGACGTGGACAAGCTATTTTGCTGTAGCGGCTACTGCATCGACCTCCTCATTAAACTCTCGCAGAAAATTAACTTCACCTTCGAGCTCGCGCTCAGCCCTGACGGGGAATTCGGTTCTCTCGTCATGAAGGAGAACTCGAGTGAGTACGCGGTGCATTCTGATGGGTTGGAAATACTTTTGCTTTGGCTGCTTTAGAGTTATTCAAAATGTGTTGATCAAATTACGTTCATTTTAGGAAACTTCAAAAATTTTGTTATACGTTCACTTATAGAAATTTTAATTTCTAATTGTAGTTATATTAAGATTGGCGGTGCTTCAAGGAAAACTGCGATTTCCACATGTCGTTAGAAGTTTCAACTCGACCAAAGCCTGTTTTACTGTTAAAATGTGAGCTTCGAGTAAAGAACAATTCCAAATTGAATAGCAAAAGAACAGAAATTCCAATCCATTATGACTTATTAAGACGCAATTACAGCCAAGAAAGAGTGGACGGGTTTGATCGGCGAACTCGTAAACCAGACACACGGCGCTGACATGATAGTGGCGCCTCTCACCATCAACCCAGAGCGCGACCAAGTCATCGAGTTCTCGAAGCCCTTCAAATATCAGGGAGTGACCATCCTAGAGAAAAAGGTGTGTTGTATGTGTTATTATCAGGGAATGATGATCCCAGGAATCATTATTCTCATCATTAGCGTGTTAGATCCAGTGGTTGCAGTAGAGTACGTGCAGTGAGGTGCGGGTTCGATTCCCGTTTCATGTGACAGCTCTGGTCAGAATCGACTAGGTGGATGGGTGGTTGAAAACAGCAAGATTGAAGCAGTGAGTTGCAGGCTCGAAACCCAGGAACCTGTAAGAATTCTGCTATATCGAGAATCGGCGACCAGCCAAATTTGGCCTATTCAACACTGATGCCACTATAACTATTTCTATGGAAACAACGTAAAGGGGAGTTTTAGTTCTATGGAGATCAGCTATCTGAAAGTGACCATCCACGAGAGGAAGATGTGTTGAAGACGTCAGACATAAGTGAGAGTCCACCCTCAAGAAAAATTTTGTTCACGGTGGCTGCAAGTGACATTCCTTGAGAACTAACCATCCATGAGTGAATAGGCGACTTGCTTTTCAAATATTAACTCTTTTATACTAGCAATATTACCCCCATTTGTCGGCTTGAAAAACAAATTAACCTACAACATAATGCAATGGAAATGGCTTAAAATTTTTAGCATATTTTTCATGAAAATGTTTTTGAGACCACTAATGTCGTTGTGACGTCATTTAACTTCTACTGTAGGGTAACTAAACATCTAGGCAGCAGATTCTTACTAAGCTCACTTTTGAAACAAATGTTTCGATTGCATAAGTGTAGCATGACGATACTATACCTACTATAAATAAAGTTTGAATACCTCTCCATTTATTCATCGGCGAACATTATATCAAAATTGATGAATTACTGCGTGACAACTTCATTCAATCTAACCTGTGAAACTATCTTATTTTTCTACCCACAGCAACCAAGATTGTCGACGCTCGTGTCGTTCTTACAACCGTTCAGAAACACGTTATGGATCCTGGTTATGGTATCCGTGCATGTGGTTGCCGTGGTACTCTACTTACTCGACCGCTTCAGTCCGTTTGGGAGGTGAGGCTTTACCATTAAGACTTTCTGCTTCTTCTTCGAGGTTGTTATTTTGTTATTTAATGCAACAAATTCTCTGAACTGTTTCGTTTGTTTCATTTTTTTGGTTTTTGCCAGGCGAAGTCGATTTTTCTCAATTTCTCATTCTTTCAGATGATGACGATAGTGCTTGTTCTTCGTAGAGATTAACTTGCTTTTCCTAGTCGTCAAACAAATTACAAATTCCTTGTGGGGAGATGAAAATCTTAAAACGGGCAACATGACTTTGTGTAAAAATTGCTACAAGTAGATTTTTTATGATATAAATCTCACTAGTAAGCGAGAACATTTAGCGTTACATTTTTCCTTTTTTTTTGCCGTATGTCGTTACTTTTTCGTTTTTTTCTTCGTTTGTCCCTCCTTTTCTCGTTTGTCCTTAATTTTTTATCTTTTATCTTATTTTTTTTCGTTTTTTCTTGTCGTATGTCGTTACCCTTTTTCTTTTTCTTCGTTTGTCGTTTCTTTTTTCGTTTGTCTTTCATTTTTTTCATCTTATGTCGCTATTTCTTCTCGTGACGCCTGACCCTGTCGCAGGTATCGCCTGGCAGGCGCTGAGGCTGCGGAGGAAGACGCCCTCAACCTCAGCTCGGCCGTGTGGTTCGCTTGGGGCGTCCTCCTCAACAGCGGCATTGGGGAAGGTGAGCGTTCCCCTCTTCATGTGTCCTGAAGTGTGTCATGTGTCCTGAAGTGTGTCATGTGTCCTGAAGTGTGTCATGTGTCCTGAAGTGTGTCATGTATCCTGAAGTGTGGCATGTGTCCTGGAGTGTGTCATGTGTCCTGGAGTGTGTCATGTGCCCTGAAGTGTGTCATGTGTCCTGGAGTGTGTCATGTGTCCTGAAGTGGGTCATGTATGCATCTTGAAGCGAGTCACGTATCCTGGAGTGGGGCTTATATACTGAAGAATTTTTTAGAATACAAATCGAATATATATATTTCTAACAACATGCATGGTGACCTGCACATGTATGTTTTTTTACAGATTGATTTCCATTAATAATTTTATCCACTTTTTCACATAAATTTAATAATTTTTTTATCTCGTGTTACATCTCGCTTAGAAAACGAGCAAGGTACTGACAATTATATACCTTAATTTTATTACTTATTCCAAAAAGTAAATAATGATGGAAGAACGACCGTTCCGTTTATCATGAACCGCATTTTTCTCGTTTTGTGGTTCTCGTGGATAACTTTCTGCACATTCATGCACGATTGGTCGGATAAAGTGAGACGGTCCGATCATAATGTACAAATAGTGACATTTTCTTACTCAAAGCACGAGCAGAGATCAAACGCAGCACTGATAAACCAATTTACCTGGGAAAACCGGGTCAGGGTGACTCACTTAACTAGGAAAAGTTCATTGCTCATTGCTATCTGGACAATGCCATACTGATTTCACTGAGCATATGCTCTGGCCGTGACCGTTTCCTTTCGCGCGCAGTTACGTAACCCCATGGAGAACTTCACGTACGCCACGGTCAAGGGTTCCTCCGTGGACATGTACTTCAGAAGGCAAGTGGAGCTCAGCAACACTGTCTCTTATACACATCTAGATGTGTATAAGAGACAGGTGTCATGTGTCCTGGAGTGTGTCATGTGTCCTGGAGTGTGTCATGTGTCCTGGAGTGTGTCATGTGTCCTGAAGTGTGTCATGTGTCCTGGAGTGTGTCATGTGTGTTTCAATTCAGGAGCAGGTTTTCCAAAAATGAAGAAGTTTCAGAACACAAATCGGACATATTTTTTTCATAACAACACTCATGTTGACACTCGTATGTATGATTTCATACAGATTGATTTCCACTTCGTATTTGTATCCAGTTCTTCCCTTATTTTTTATCTCGTCTTACTTTTAGGAATATAATAATAGTAGTTTTTTAGTAATAGTATTAGGATAATATAATAATAGTACATTATAATATAATACACTTTAATTATATTGTATTTCAATTTAATTTAATATACTTTAATTGTATAATTATTCCAAAATGTAAATAATGACGGAAGAATGACTGTTCGCTTTATCGTGAGCCGCAATTCTGTTATTTTTCTCGATTTATTGCTCTCGTCGATAACTTTCTACACATTCGTGCACGATTGGTCGGTACCTCCACCCACTCTATCAGTCACTCAGTACATTTATAAGCGTATCGGTAACAATAACAATAACATAAGCGTATCGGTAACATACATGGACCGATCACTGAGCGTATGCCCTAGCCGTGACCGTTCCCTTTCACGTGCAGTTACGTAACCCCATGGAGAACTTCACGTACGCCACGGTCAAGGGTTCCTCCGTGGACATGTACTTCAGAAGGCAAGTGGAGCTCAGCAACATGTACAGAACCATGGAGGGCAACAACTACGACACGGCTGATGAGGCCATTGAGGCTGTCAAAAGAGGGTGAGGCTACATTGTTTTTGGGTCCCGTTTGGTCTTCTCGTTTGATAATCAGGGTTAATGCTTTCGGTATAAGAGTGATATATATGCTGCTTCAAAGTGCTACTGTGCCTAAAAACTAATGAGCCATCTGATTAGTTTTATATTCATTTATTATATTGATTTGAGATTGAATTGTTTAAACTTTAGAATATTTCTCTCATAAACGAAGTTTTTTCTATTTCTATTATCTTCTCATGAAAATGTCGCGATTACTTTGGACTCGACCCACGGTTGCTCCGAACTCAGTTTTAAATACAACTATTATTATTTTCGAGCCCATCATTCTTATGTTTATGTGCCCGGGTTGGGGACATTTGGACCAGATCTATTACGGGAAGAACCGTGTAAAACCTAAGCTCAGCGTACAACGTGATGTCCGACTGGCCAAAAACTAGGAGATCTATTTTTAGCGCATTTTTTCATTTATGGAAAAAATGCACTATTGTTCTCGCCATGTCCGTCTGTCTGTCTGTCCGTCCGTGACCTCAAGTTTTCGTCGACGAGAAAATGCGCTCTCTGTTACTCACTGCAGTGAGTACTGAGTTACATTTTTTTTTGTGCAGGGACTTGAAGGCATTTATCTGGGACAGCTCAAGGCTGGAATACGAGGCAGCACAAGACTGCGATTTGGTGACGGCGGGCGAACTTTTCGGTCGTTCAGGCTACGGCATCGGCTTGAGAAAAGGTTCACCGTGGGCGGATCGAGTGACGTTATGTGTCTTGGAGTTCCATGAGAGCGGCTACATGGAGGAGCTCGATAACAAATGGATCTTGCACTCGCCCAACGACGACTGTGATACGAGCGACAAGGCGCCCGCCACGCTGGGGCTCAAAAACATGGCTGGGGTGTTTATCCTCGTAGCCGCGGGGGTTGGCATAGGAATTGGTTTGATTATTATAGAAATTGTGTACAAAAAACACCAGATCAAGAAGCAGAGAAGACTTGAATTGGCTCGACAAGCTGCCTACAAGTGGAGAGGCTATATAGAGGTCAGTGGTTATTTTGGTTCTATTCATGTTTTTTTTTGTACTGCACTGTAGTATCGCTATCATTTGATATATTTTGTTTTATGAAGTTAATACTTTTCAGGCGTTTTATTTCAAATAGTTATGATATGGTTTGTTATGTTATATAAGAATTTTTTATTGCCATCCTAAGGGCTACTCACATGCTCAACCCTAATGCATCCCTCGCACTCTCGTGCTGCAGAAGCGCAAGAACGAGCGCGCGTCCATGCTCCTCCAGCGAAGGATCAAATCCAACGGCCTGAACGATCCGTCGTTAATATCGCTGAGTCTGGAGGCGGCCCACCTGGGGGCGGCGGGCCGGCCCGACAGCGGCGGCATGAGCTCTTTTCCTCCGACAGCTTCGGCCATCGCCGCGTCGGCGGTGGCAACGGGCGGCGCAGCAGCGGCCATGCAACTACCTACCATGCTACCACCTCCTCCAGCGCCCCCTATGTCCATACCTTTGTCTTCTCCAATGTCTTTACCTCTGGACGTTCCTCCTGCTCCAGCACCTCCCTCCTCCAGAAGAGCCAACGACCTGCGGCAGCGGCAGGTCTCTACCCTTGAGGACAGATTGCCACCGCCTCCTCCACCTCCTGCTGGGGTGGACGCGCAGAGATTTGTGTCTTCATACAAGAGTCTTTATGGTCCTGATCGACCTGACTTGGTGGCGTAGCATTATGTTCCCTAGCGAAGTGTCAGTGGCGTTCTCCCTGACGTCATGCGGCTATAGTTTTCCCACAATGGGACTCTTTTGGCATTAAGCGAGGCTGATTTCTTTAGGCTATTGTGCTTTATAAACTTCTAACGATGTGCGCATCTTGTCTTGCCTCTACGTTGCCCTCTTGTTAAGCAGCCAAGAGATCTTGGATGATTCCGTGACCGTTGTTCGCCTTCATCTACAATTTTGTTCACGACGATCACGGCCTGCGACACAACAGAAAATATTGCATTGCGAGATAAGAAGCAAGAGGTTCGAGATGCGAGAAGCAAACTATGCTTACGTTGTGTAGTGGTGTCGCTTTTAACTCGATTCTGTTAGCTCTTTAGATAGAAGGATCTAACATTGTTACCGATACGCTTATAAATGTACTGAGTGACTGATAGAGTGGGTGGAGGTACTGGTGGTCGAGCTCTTTTGAAGTATTTCATTTTTCTTCATTGGTTATTTCTATCTTACGGTTTGTTAATTTCTCCGCTCCTGAAGCGCAATTGAGAGCAAAAACGTAAGAACTCCAAGGCTCTACGATTGTTTCTCAGGCGCCCACACATAATGTGTTAAGCTCGTCTCCAAAAGGGCTTCCAGTATCGTCCAGACCACCAAAGTTATTGTGTAGGTGTAGCTGAACAAACTGTACATTTGTTGGCTCGTGCTTGTGTGAGAGATGGATCTCGTATCTTAATGAGATCATTTCTTGAAGCGGTGCCAGTCATGTCCCGTTAATGCCAACAATAATTAATAACTCAAGAGCGACTGACTTGTGCAATCCATGTTTGTAATTTTGTGTAACTTAGTCTGGCCGTGAGAGGCTAGCAGGCTGTACATAATGATTGCTTCAAGCAAGTGTGTTCAGTGTGTCGCCCACGCCCGCATTTTACAAGAGAGTATAGAAACCTGCTTGGGGTTTAAACAGGCTTGAGAACCCGGTAACCTACGTTCAAATTACTCAAAGTTTTATAAGTGAAGCGGTCCCAATGAGTGTAAATTGAGCCAGTCCTTGCAGTAATTTTCTAGGAATGGAAACAGGTCGCAACGTCAAAGAATGTGACATGGTAAAGCCATGTTATGGCTCCTCTCCTGAACTTGTCGCTGGATTAGCTCCGGGCTGAAAGCAAAGAGAGAAATCGAGGCTAACCATACAATGCCGTGAGTTTTTGGTTGTCTAAAGGATGGTGCAGGTATATATTTTATCGTGCAAAGCTGCCTGTGTGTGGAGATGTGATCCATATTGCCATCTTGATTGCAGCTAACACTTTGCGGCGCCCTGGTTAAATCCTATCATCCTAGCGATGCAAGATCAGTTTGGTCAGATCCCACCAGCTCTGATCAGCTCTGAGCAGCTCTGACCAGCTCTGACCAGCTCTGACCAGCTCTGATCAGCTCTGATGAGCTCTGATCAGCTCTTATCAGCTCTGACCAGCTCTGACCAGCTTTGAGATGTCACTGCGAGGAAATGCCTCGTGTCAGTTATTAAGGAAGATAGTAAGTGGGTTATAGGAAACCAGGAAGAATCGTTCACGGGAGACTTGTAAAGACTATTTTTGATGCTCAAAACGTTGTTGCAGGCATTATTGTGCTAGTTATTATAGCTTGATTGTTACAACAGAGACTTGTATTGATGTTGAATGATATGCGCAAATGCTATAGTAGTTTAAGTATGATTTTTTTGTCGGTTGTTTAGTATATGCTTTCAGATATGTGCGGTGAGCGTCCGTTTTGCAGATGTTTAGACAATAATCGAGTTTCGTGATTGAGCTTATACAATTCTTCGTATCAATCTTTATTCTTCAATTCTTTCTGTGACGTTAATCCTGACTTAATCCTGCTCACTCCAAACACATTCACTCACTGGGCGAGTCGACTGAGTGGCAACTTGCCTGTCTGATTGAGTCGACTGAGTGGCAACTTGCCTGTCTGATTGAGTCGACTGAGTGGCAACTTGCCTGTCTGATTGAGTCGACTGAGCTGAAGCTTGTCTGTCTGATCGAGTCGACTGAGCGGAAGCTTGTCTGTCTGATCCAGTCGACTGAGAGGCAGCTTGCCTGTCTGGACGTCGACTGAAGGGCAGCTTTGCCTGTCTAGACGTCGACTGAGAGGCAGTATGCCTGTCTGGGCGTCGACTGAGGGTCAGCTTTGCCTGTCTAGACGTCGACTGAGAGGTCTGGACGTCGACTGAGGGTCAGCTTGCCTGTCTGGACGTCGACTGAGGGTCAGCTTGCCTGTCTAGACGTCGACTGAGGGTCAGCTTGCCTGTCTAGACGTCGACTGAGGGTCAGTTTGCCTGTCTAGACGTCGACTGAGGGTCAGCTTGCCTGTCTAGACGTCGACTGAGGGTCAGCTTTGCCTGGACGTCGACTGAGAGGCAGTTTGCCTGTCTAGACGTCGACTGAGCGAAAGTTTGCCTGTCTGGACGTCGACTGAGGACTTGACCCTCACGGTGTCGAGAAATAAAACGCAGCGTATATTTACCAATTCTGTATTTATGTGTCATTATTGTGGAATTGGATTGAATCCTAGATTTTAAACACACTATTGGATTATTTCTCTGCGTGTATAAAGAACCTGGATTAGGCAATAAAAGTTTAACCAGCACCCAACTCCGAACTAAGTTGCTTAAGAATTTGTCTCGTAGAGCTAAGCTGTCTCAGCGCGGTCCCCAAACAATTACATAGTTCTGGTTTGAAGTATTCAATTAACAATTACGCTGACAGATAACTTATTAATTTGTTGAGTTACAGCGCTGGAAAAATCCTTACACGAAATCAATGATGTTGCCGCACTTTGATAGTGCAGTAGATATGACAATAAAATTTAAAGAAAGTATAGGTTAAAGGAGGATTATGATGGTATTTTGTGAAGGTTTGCTCATTATTCACTACTCACGGACATTACTTGACATCAAGTAAATTTAAATAGATAAATGGTTGCCGAAGATTTTTGCCTTAATACCGCTATCAGGCTGGAAAATAAAAATTACATTTATTCCTTGAGCTCAGTGCTGAAGAAGTTGTAATCCTTCTAGGATATAGCAATTGAAACTCGACCAGCGCGTACCGAGTGTAATCTTTACAGGCTCTATACCTACCAGCAGGAAAATAATATGAGAGTGTATCATCTATATTTAACCAGGCTGCACTTTTCGATGAAAGCCTAATGTCAATACCAAATTTTCAACATAGAAATTGATAACATGATTGGGTTGTTAGCAAGTTAACGAACCTTCAGGAAACACGATAATTCGCGGAGGTTTTCTGGAATTTGCCACAACAAATACAATAAATTGCAATACACAAACATGGATGAGTTGGTTCTGTTTTGGTTTTCTTTGGGCGTATTTTGTATCGTATTTATTTTGTATCTCCGTTTGGATTTTCTTTTCGATTAATTAATTTTGAGGTAAGAAGGTATTTTAAATTTGCAAAGGTAAGCGACTGACTGGGATGCGTTTCGACTAAGGAATGTAGTGCAGAAGTTAAGTATTATCACTGAATAAAGGATTACAAAACTCAATTACGCATGAACTGCGATAGTATTCGTATAATGCTATGTTTGAATAAATTTGATGGAGCAAAAATTTGATTGGTTGTAGAAAAAAAACGAGGTATTCTTGCATTACTTTAATTCGGTAAATCCTCGTCTAATGTCTTTAAAGTCTTTCATACTAGTTTAGCTCATGTGGAATGTTAACTATAACTTATTATCATCTAAAATTTTATATTTTTTTGTTGAATGAAAAAAAAGATCTGGTGAAAATTTAGAAGTGAAATTCCGCCTCGACTCCTGCAGTAATATTGCCCAATTTTATTCATTGAGCGAAAACGTGAGTTTTTGAGAGAAAGTTCTACGCAAGGAAAAGTTCTTAAGAGAAAGTTCTACGTAAGGAAGTGTTTTTAAGGGAAAGTTCTACGCAAGGAAAAGTTCTTAAGAAAAAGTTCTACGTAAGGGAGAGTTCTTAAGAGAAAGTTTTACGTAAGGAAGAGTTCTACTGAACCTTCGTCACTGCATGCGGAAAATAAAAAAAAGACCCTTTTCATACTCTGAGAATAAATGAATTGGTCAAACTGCCCAAACAGTGACGTACTTCCTTACCTAAAACACGAACAGAGATCACTGATACTCCCTTTTGCCCGACACAATTGAGTCAGGACCTATACTTTCAAAAAAAGTTACGAGATCGTAAGTTCATCCGCCAATCATTGACGGCCTTTCAAGTCAAATCCACCAATCATAGACAAGAAAATAGAGCGTAAGTACTTACGTTCACTTAGCGAGTTTTGAAAGTATGGCCGGTGACCCACACGGGGGCTAAAATGTGCATCGCAAGGTACATTCACGCACTCATTTCCCTGCGTAGCTATACAGAGTCGAGTTTGCGCGGGAGTTTTGTGCACCTGCGTTGAAGTTCAAGTTTATTTGACTGTTATTTAAGTTTTAAGTGTGAAAAATTTTAAGTTTTTATTGTGCGTATGTACCCTTATACTGCATCAGATGTTGTCCAATGTCCAGGTTTAGAGTGCTTCTATTTGTTACATAGTCACGAATATCACTGTTGCATTTAAACTTTAAGGAATACCACGAAAAATGCTGAAAAAATCGGCCACATAATAGCTTTATTTTCAAAAAGTAAATGTTTACTGAAAATAGAGGACCTCTGACGTGGTAGACTATTTCTTATCTCCATTGATAGCGTCATGAATATTTGAGAAAATATATATGTTGCGTTCTCCAGGAGGAATGTATAATGGATGTGTGAATGTTTCTCCACGTTCGAGGTCCTCCATTCAAACATTAATTAATTATTGATTTGCTTATAATGAAGCAAATTAATTAATGGTGAATAACTATTTATGAATGTCTTTATTGTATTTATTTCGGCGGTGATGTTACTGACTGAGTGTTGCTCTTTTTCTATTTTAAAGTCCGCGTTTGTTGCCTAGATTATATATACAATGTAGTATTGCAAATCAATATTGATAAAAGATTTATTACAGGCTTGTGAGAGTAAAAGAAGCATTCATAAATTCTTTACGACAATTAAAATTGGAATTCTTCAAGCCCAATTAATAAATTAAAATGGTTAACAGACGTCAATGAAAGATACTGGAATTTGACGATAAATGTCGACGAATGACGATGAATGATGATGACTGATCATGATAAGCCACTATGATAAGTCAGACGATGTAGGGTGATTAGTAACTAGTAGTAATTCAGGCGATGAACATCAAGGTTTAGATGAAATGAATTTTGAACTCAGTTAATTTTCTGTTTTTTTTTTTTCCATGCTTGTGATAAGTTTGAGGATAGAACTTCAGTTTTTTGTATAAATTTCTTTTGTGAAGTAAATGGCTTACATTTATATGCTTATATAGGTTCGAGATTTTAAATTCGTCTTCGCCATTTTGTTTACCGAATAGTTTCTTTTGATCATTTGTTTGGACGAGCAATCAATTATAGTTCAAAACGACCACGATTTCCCGAAAACGTCTCCGTACGTCTGCATGCTAAACACCTCGACAATCTCCACAATCACAGGGGGAAATTTGTACCTTTTCATACGTAATTAAAAAAAATTAATTTATGTCATTCAAAGCAAGCCAAATAATGTCCGCAATATTGATTAATTCATCGATAGTTTTAATTGTGTTAGCATCGATCAAGTTAGTGATATGTCTTCTTGTAAATGATTTATATCCGGAAACCCACCTGACGCCGGAATTTTTTGAATTGTTGGAAATTTTACCGTGCTATTTTATGTTGTCAAAAAATTTTGTTGTGAACTAAATTTTTCGAGAATTTGCACCACAATTTGATACCCTGGCAGAACTGCAGTTTCTTTAGCAATTACCACAAATTATAAGCCCCTGGTTAATTAGTAACCACGTCTGAATTTTGGCTGGGAATGAGACGCGAAAAATGTCCATATTTCTGTTTAGTGATTCGGAACCATTATGCATACTTGCGTATTTCAAAACGTGAAACATTAAAGTTTAAGTACAACAACGCTTTGACAACGACGAACGACCTCAATAAACAAGATATTTATTGCTGAGTATTGTCTAAAGATAGACGCGTCGAACTGGACCCGAAAATTTGACTATAACACAACAACCTCATTGACCTGTATTGAACTATGGTTCATCTTTTATATTTTTTTGGGGGAAAAGTCTAATCACTTTTTGAATAATAACAGAAAAAACACCTGTCTCGTTCTCCATTTGATTTTTCTCGTTATGCCAACGAATTTTCAGAGATAACATAATTCCATAAAGCCACTTCATACACTAAGAATGCATCACATTGTCCGAATGGAGATATTACTACCGTGTGTACGGGTATTGCATTTTAAAATCAC